AAGACCGTGGATCCCCCCTCCCCCCTTCCCAAAGGAAAAAAAGATTAACCTCTCTTAAATAAGAATGAGAGCCATGAAAAAGTATTTGAATTGAATAGACGTTTTTATAAGTGTGTTTAACTTTTTTTTCCCTCCATGAATATTTTTCTTAACCTTTGACTTGGAAAGATGTCATGGACAGGCATTAAGTATTTCCGATAATTAACTTGTATGGAATATTTTAATATTTCAACAAAATATTTTCATATTTGAATGACATATAGAGGCTGGTCTACTTATGAAAGGTGCTGACCCGTGGAAATTTGTTTTTAAATTATGTAAAGGGAGGGTAAGGGTAGGGCAGGGGTGATCGACAAGCCAATTTAAAACACACCCACACACCGTACAATCTCGGAAGAACAATCCTTTTTCTTTGAGTGGGGGGGGGGGGGGCTTTCTCTAACTTTTCCATTTCCATCCAACGGATGGAATTAATTGCCAGAGTCCAACCTTACGGTTAGCTGAAGAACTGTTGCTCTTCGAAAAAAATATATTGAGAGACGGGTGAGCTGCAGTGCCACCAACTGGAAAAAAGTGCATCTTTATTGCCCACAAAAAACCGCGCTCTTTCTCGATTTATTTCTTCATGTTTCAAATTGTCACCTTAAAATATTTCTAACTCTATGTTCCAAATACATTGTATCTTCCTTTACTATTTCCACTTACCTTATGAAATTGAGACCATCGAATTTCGCATTTTTTACAGCCATTTTTTCACAGACACATGGAGTGTGGATCATCCCCCCCCCAACTAACTAATAAAATATGTATCTTTATTTTTTCGAAAATATGTGATTTCTCCGTCAATTCTATCTGTATGTCATTCTTGCAATTGGTTTGTACTTTTGTAAAGGTTTAAAATTGGCAATACACGGTATAATTTTTATTATACCGTGTATGGCCAATTTATACCTTAACAATAGTACAAACCAATTGCACAGAATGACATACAGAAAGAAATTAGTACACGAATATTAGATTTTATAGCAACAAAAATTGAAAAGTAGGTTACAGTGACCTAATTTTCAGTGGACTTACTCTAGGACCAAAGATGCAACAACTGACAAAGTTTGGTGATCGATTCTAAGCCAATTAGTACCTGAAAAAAATTTAATTAAAGCCATAAATTTTCAAAAGTAGGTCACGGTGAACTACTTTTCAGTGGACTTACTCCTAGGACCAAAGATTCATCAACTGACAAAGTTTGATGATTCTAAGCCAATTAGTACCCTAAAAAAAATTAATTAAAGCCATAAATTTTCAAAATAAGGTCAAGGTGACCTACTTTTCAGTGGACTTGCTCCTAGGACCAAAGATGCACCAACTGACAAAGTTTGATGATTCTAATCCAATTAATGCCTGAAATATTTAAATAAAGCCATAAAATTTCAAAAGTAGGTCACGACGACTTACTTTTCAGTTAACTTACTCCGAGGACCCAAGATGCATCAACTGACAAAGTTTAATGATTCTAAGCCAAATAGTACCCAAAATATTTAAATATTGCCATATGATTTCAAAAGTAGGTCACAATGACTTAGTTTTCAGTTGACCTTTTTCGAGGACCCAAGATGCAGCAACTTGCAAAGTTTTATGATCATAGGCCTTAAAATGTCCAAAATATACCGGTACATGTACCTCTAAAACGCTTTGAACCCGAATGCCTGCAAATTCCAAAAAGTAGGTCACTGGACCTACTTTTTAATAAATATGTTTTATGCCCCAAGATGCATCATCTTACAAGATTTAATGATTCTAAACCTCTCAGTATTCGAATTAATGACCTTAAATGTTTTGAAAAAGATTAGCCATAAAATTAAAAAAGTAGGTCATGGTGACCTACTTTTTAGTTGACGTACTCCGGGGACCCAAGATGCATCAAATGACAAAGTTTGATGATCATAGGCCTTAAATTGTTCAAAATATGCCTCTTATTCATTTTGATTGATTGATTGTTTGTTGTTTAACGTCCCTCTCGAGAATTTTTCACTCATATGGAGACGCCACCACTTGCCGATGGAGGGCTACAAATTTTGACCTATACTCGGTACTCATGGCCATTGAACAGTGAGGGATCTTTTTCGTGCCAGCACCTCTTGCGACACGGGACCTCGGTTTATACTGTCTCATCCGAAGGACTGGTCTCCACATGGGCTGACAAACAGATTTTTCAAGTACTTGCCCATGGGCGAGTAAAAGGTCAAAATTCACTTGCCCTACCTGAATTTTTACTTGCCCCACCATAAACTATGAAAATAGGAAGACAAAAAATGATTATTACAATCGCCCATTTCCACTTAAAACTAAGACTTACCATTTTTTTTCTTGAAAAAGTAACTTGCCCTTGGGCAAGTGGTTAATAAAAATTCACTTGCCCATCCCAAAAATTCACTAGTCCCGGGCGACGGGCAATGGGATTTGTCAGCCCCTGCTCCATGTCCCGCAGTGGGATTCAAACCCGCGACGTAAGGATCAACTCCTTACTCCGCGACTCTAGAGCAGACGCTCTTACCACTGCGCCACACGGGCTAATCATTTTTAATAAAAATGACTGCAAAATTAGTAGGTCACCGTGACCTACTTTTGAGATATGAGGTCCTTAGATGCATCAACTGCCAAGATTTGATGGTCCTAGTCCTTATAGTAAGCAAAATATCAACATTTTAATAAAATGTACTTTTTGGACAACTTTGAAGTGACCTTGAGACCACGCCCTTTGCCCCAGGGTGATGCCTTTAACAATTTGTAATCTTCAACATATCCTTTTGTGTAAGTTTGGTGATAACCTGCCCAGTGGTTCTTGAGAACATTTTTAGCAACCAATTCTTTTGGTTTTATTTACCTAATTATCTCCCCTTGTTTAAGGGTCACAACCCTAGTTTTAGTATACATGTAAATGGGAGCCCTTCTGTGACAAATTTGACAATAATTGGCCAAGAGGTTCTTGAGTTTATGGCCCATATTCTAAAAAGTTTAAGCACACCGCACAAATGGACAAAGCATTAGCTCCTTTTACCTTTGGCTCAGAAGAGCTAAAAAAACAAACCCATGGGCCACAACGCTCACCTGAGTAACTTTGGCCCTACTGTTTTTCACCAGATTTCCCCTTGTAATACGTATTGTGGCCCTACCTTACCCCCGTGTGCCATGATTTGAACAATTTAGAATCTACACTACCCCAGGAAGCTTCCACATATGTCACAGCTTTTCTGGCCAAGCTGTTCATGAGATCTTTTGCTATATATTTTAATGTAAAACTTTGATTCCCCATTGTGGCCCCACCCTAGCACCGGGGGTCATGATTTAAACAATTTAGAATCTACATTACCCCAAGGAGCCTTCAAATAAGTTTCAGCTTTTCTGGCCCAGTGGTTCTTCTTCAGATTTTTTAATGACCCCACCCTATTTTTGTCATATCCTGATTATTTCCCCTTGTAAGGGGGCTTTGCCCTCTATTTTAATAATTTAAGCTCCCCTTTACCCAGGGATGGTTTTATATTAACTTTGGTTAAAATTAACCCAGTGGTTCTTGAGAGAAGTTGAAAATGTGAAAAGTTTTACAGCCGACGGACAACAGATCAGAAAAGGTCACTTGAGCATTCAGCTCAGGTGAGCCAAAAAATACACAAGGCCATCCATGTTAATTTCAAAATTCACCGACCTCAGACACAGGACAGCCGCACGAGATTGGTGTGCATACATGGCTCCTGGCATTTCACCTGGCGAAACTAACATCAAGAAACATTAAAATTTCTGAATTTTTTAAGATTCTTTAAATATTGGAAAAAAGTTGGCTATAATGATTAACGCTCCATGCGAGGATCGAACCAAAAACCTACTCTACAACTAGATGCTCTGGACTGGTAATAAACTATCGAGCTATTATCACTACACAGTATGGATCTTAAAACGACATTGAAGCAACACATCTACACATTCCGATTTTTTCGGAAAAGGTTCATTATTATGGTCTCTGGGCCTTCTCTCCTTTTCTTAAGAATGTTTCATTCGTTTCTTCGAATTATTACGTCCAAATTATGTTTTAAAGACATGGAGATCAAGGGTTTTTTTTTCCAGGAATGAAACACTTTGTTCCAAATGCCCATTTAGCCATTTTTCAAGCTATCTTACGGCAAATTTAATTACAATATCAGGAAAATATATCTCTTTCCTATTAATTTCACACAAACCAAACACATCAAAAGTGCCAAAATTTCATGCGACAGATCAATGAAGTTTGCACTTTTCTAGTGCGCCCAGATTCCTGCCAAATGCCGATCAAATGCGTGTCCTCGTTCTTTACAGCTACTTTGCAACCGTCCATTTAACTTTGGCACTAATAAGTATTTGAGAATGGTTCTGCTATTGTCACATCCGGAAATTAAAATGTACACCAAGGCTGCATCCGAAGCAATTCTGGTTGTGTATATCCCTTATTTTAATTCTACTTCATCAGTGATCAGCGTGGTCATCATGAAACCACAAGAGATAACGCTAGCGTATCAAGACCTCATCATAGTGCTTTCAGCTTTGCTTCAGTGTGGATTTGTTTTTATCATCGTTTTTATCAACCATGCAACTTTGGTCCGGGAAATGTTACTTGGAACATTGTTCCATCTAAAACTTGGTCACTTATCCAGGAAATAAAGGTCAGATGCAGCATGCCAAGTCTGGCATAGTACACATACTGAACAATCTTAAGCGTTACATCTACTCCACCAAGTACCATATCCATCAACATGTGGTAATGCAGGGTTTCATGGCAGGTTGAGAACATTTTTTTTTTGACAATTTCATCCACACAGCAGTGGTGAAATAGACGAAGTATTTCAAAAGTACATTTGAAAGAGGTAAAGTTCATATCAATGAACCCCATATGCAGTTACAAAGAGTATTTCACAATTCTTTGCCCTTCGCAAAAATTTGCTCTGTGCAACTACACTTTCAAAACAAAACCTAACAAGAACTTAATTTTTTATTTTAAAAGAACATTGTATAAGAGATATCAGTCAAAAATTGCACATCTAATTGGTCTCATGAAAAAATAACAATGAATTAATGCCAATGATAAGAAATTCCTTCCCTCTTTCTGTGTGATCTATTTAACTCACCCACCCCCCTTTTCACAAAAACAAATTTTGGTAATTTTTGAAACAAAAAGATTATAACTACAAATTATATGGCCAAAATCAATGCTAAATAAGTGTCATCTTTTTCTACGAATGCTAACATGCCAGTGTCCATGTGGACAATTTAAGCACCACATACAGTGAACATCATAACATGTATGATACACTGGTTAAATCTATTCTGCATAAGCAAAAAATACTACACTACATGGTTTCTACTTCTACATAGGTAAACTAAAATGTATGAACACATAATGGCACATGTAAAATATCTGAGGTATGTTTTGATTTCAAAAATATAAATTTTTTATCTAGTTTTCCTCTGTTTGAAGGGGAATCCTTTTTTCAACCCTTTGGCTCCAAGTCTTCCTTCTTCCAATGGAATTCCACTTCCTTTTCCTCATTCTACAACTCCATCTATTCTACTTTTCACAGCACTGGCATCTCACCATAATAGTTAACAGCAGTTCTAATCATTCCATCCTTGATCCATGATCCTCTATTTGATAGCATTTGATCACATCCTGAACGGACAAGCTTACAGGAAGTAGAGACGATCAGATAAGGACATGTGAGGGTCCTTATGAATGGACTGTCCCACTAAGAATGCCAGCTTGTGGGCATACTGACATGGCGCTGGTACACGGATGGTACCCTATCACAAAAATGATCATCATACAGTAATTATGAATTTTAAATTCATTGAACAATTGATCATAAATGTGAATGAAAACATGCCATTTTAACTGTTTTGCAAGTATAAAAATTATCAAACAATGGTTGAATAGAGAGTCTAAAAGAACATTCCATGGGACTTACTGGCCAATTATAGTAAAGGTGTGTCATTTTGTATGCCAGTCTCTGCATATGATCGGGCTTAAGGCCTGTGGAGTCCCAGATCACATTGTAGTGGGTGGGGGTCACTGTACCCTGTCTGACTGACTGAGACACGAGGAAGAAGTCATACCTACAACATAGAGAAAAACCATTATTATCTCCATCTTAAGCAAGCTACACAACTCTTTCAAAACATTTCCAGGTATTACAATTAATCATGTTTTCTTTCCATTCATCTAGTCCTGCTTTGGAAATCAGTGGAAATTTCATTCCTCAACATTCATAACACAAAGTGACCAAAGTGCCAAATGCAAAACAAGAGACCCATGGGTTGCATTGCTCACCTGAGCACTTTGGCTAGAGAAAAGCAGGTAACAGTTCATTACATGTATTGAGAAGTTGCAGTGAGGGAAAAGTTTCAACAAGTGTCATGATTTGAACAAATTTAAATCCACACTAACAGAGGATGCTTCCATATTTCTTTGACAATCATGGTTTAAAAAGTTTTTTAGAAAGATTTTCCCCCCTATATATTTCTATGTAAAAGTTTGATCTTCTATTGTGGCCCCATCCTACCCCTTAGGGTCATATTTTGAACAAATTTATATCTACACTTACCGAGGATGCTTCTGTACTAATTTGACTAGTAATAGCTCAGCTGTTCTTGAGAAGAAGATATTTAAAGATATTTCTTATATATTCCAATGTAAAACTTTTCTTCCTCTGTTATGGCCCTACCCTTCTCCTGGGGGTTCATGATTTGAACAAATTTGAATTGTAACTATGTAAATAAGCTTTCACACAAGTTTCATTTTTTCTGGCCCAGTGGTTTTTGAGATTTTTAAAAGATGCCATTAACTTTTCAATGATTCAGTATCATCTCCCCTTGAAAGAGGGTGTGGCCTTTGGACAAACTTGAATCCCCTTCACATAAGGATGCTTTGAGGAATGCTTGGTTGAGTTTGGCCCTGTGGTTCTTAGGAAGTTGAAAATGTGAAAAATATACCGACGACATGAGACATGGATGCCGGATACTCTTCAATCAGAAAAGCTACTTTAGCCTTCGTCTCAGGTGAGCTAATCAAAGGTTGTTTTTGGAATGATTTTCCTCTTTCTTGTACTATCTACATGTATGTGGTAAGCTCTCCAATTCAAAGCTGAGAACTTCATTAAATCCCCATTTTAATTTTTCTTTGCCTTTTCTACTCTTTTCATGCCACATTCCATTATATTACTCGTATATTTTTAACATTTTAAAACCACAGGCTCATCATATTAATCTAGTACTGTGCTTTAAATGTTATAAGTAGTAATATTTTCAATGATCCTATGGTTTATTAATACTCACCAGATTGGCTTGGTGACCTGGGTGTCTACAATGGTCCCTGGTGGAGGATTCGTCAGAGATGGACCAGACTTTGCAAAGAACCTTGTGTTGATTCTCTTCTTTACAACTACAACTGCTACCTTTGGACTAAGAAATCAAGATGTATACTATATGATTATCACAAATTCTGATGCTAATAAGTCATCAACTTTTCTATTTTATGCCCCCCCCCCCTCCCCCTTTATTGATAACTAAACTTTCCTTTCATCTGCAGAAGTAAAGATGGCAGAAGTGTGAAACAGCATTTTACTCTTATTATAGCAAACATACTTATAACGAATTCATGCTAAGAGCAAAGTGATTTTCTTTCCCTGCGGTTTTAAAACATATCATGAAGCTCAGGGATATAATGAATATTTATAACAAAACAAAATTGATGGTTCCTGGCACTTTGCTATATGTGTGTTTCACTGTAGAGATGAATATGAGGCAGAAAAAGATGCTATAGCAGTTCACCAAGTTCTTACTTGTAATCTTGTCCACCACTTCTCTTAAAGCACTCGTTCAACTGTGGTACCTCATGTTCATACACTGCCCTCAGCTGTCCATCACCCACACCGTCACGGAACACAATGATCCTCTCAGGTAGGGCACCATTAACTTCGTGGTACTTCTCCAAGGCACCTAAAATTTTACACTAATCATTAAAAGCATGCAAATAAATACACATGTATTCCTTAAATTTACAATGTTGTTCTTTCACGTAATTGGCTTAATTGGACTCTTGGAGAAACGTTTGTAGAGATAACACTATTATCCTCTGAATGAGGGAACCAAACCCTCTGTGATAGAATGTAGCAAAAGTCAACCTTGCTTGATGATGGGCAATTTCAGAAAATGTTGATTGTGAACAATTATTGTTGGTTTAATGTTATATGTATCTGTTTAAAACATTCAGTGTAATATAATTAACATCACATGTAGTTCAGGATAACATTGAAAATTTTCACCCCCCAAGAAAACCCCCGTCAAATGAGGCACAGACTAGGGGGTGAAAATTTTCAATGTTACTCTCAACTAAATATAATATTTATATAATACTGTGGAATCAAAATTGTTCACGGGGGACCAATGTTCGTGGATTTCGCTGGTCACCCGTGCAAACGAATTGAAATCCCCACGAACGTTTACTCTGTAAACATATTGATTCACTGAATCTACTGTTTAAACGAGTAACTTACGAAATTACGTCTCCACGAAAAAGTAAAATTTTGCTTGCCCACGAACATTGACCCCCCAAGAATTAAAATGATTCCACAGTACACTTCTCTTCATACTTTAACTTAACATGAAAATCCTCATTACTCAAAATGAAGAAAACGAATCTTTAATGAAAAAAAAAAACTTCTCATATAATTATTATGGCATGAATGGAACTTTCTAAAGAATCTTCCTTACCAAACTTGCTTGATGTTTACACAGCAGTCAAAGACCTGCTAAGACTTGCCAAGCTACATACGGTAACTTAATCATAACTAACCTCTCAGTGACGTTACTAATCCGTTAACAAGTTCCTCGCCAGTGTGTTGGAATGTTGTACGTGAATAGTATCGAGTAAGAGTTTTGTTTAAGGAGCATATCACGCCCCCAACAGAACGCCCTTTCTTAGCTGAATCGTGGTAAGTATCGACACCTACCACCATCAGATTTTTCAGCTGGAACAAAGGAGAACTTTGGTTAGTAAACAAACAATGGTCTACCTGGACCAAAAAAATAACAATTCAGTTGTCTTCCTGGACAACAACATGAAAATCATAATATATGTTCATCAAAAAAAAATATTTCGCCAACAAAGCATGTTTTCTTTATCTACTCTTTTGGTAGGATAAATTTATTTATTGCCTTTCTTCACCATGAAATAAACTTTTTCATTTACACATACAAAATCCTCCAAAAGGTACATAAAGATGTAGCTATCCATGCGTTCTTAGTCAAACTAACATCTAACAAAATCTTAACTGAATAATGTTACACAACAAATAAGGATTTTGCAATCTTTTTTCTGTTGAAAATAAAAATACAATGGCCACCTTGCCGATCTCTTGCGACAATACACAGTACAATTCTTTTAACAATTCAAGAATATAAATTTGAACATTTTAATGAATTTACATTGTTCCATGTAATGTTAATACATATCATTTGTAACTAGTACATTTCAATGAATATACATAGTTCCAAGTCATGTTTCATACATTTGATTTGTAACTGGTATTATTGCAATCCAGATCTATCAGAGAGACTCCAAATCTCTCAAAGAAAAAAAAAACTAAACAAAAGAATAAACACCTACAACCAGGTGTATTGACATGGAAACAAAAGATAAACTAATACAGAACAGAACCTATACCATATAAGGACAAAGTCTGACAAAGTCCACAGACAGATTTACCAGTTTACACACAAACTTTCTGTTAGAAGCAACAACTACAGGATTAGTATAGTTAGTGGATTCACATTTTATAACAATCCTCCAGCTCTACAAGAACAACCTTGACAGCAGCCATTTCAGAAGTTTTCTAGAGAAATTTACTTACCTTCAACTTCTCCAACAGTTACTTATTTGAAAACAACCCACATAAGCAAATTCTCAGAAGTGATTTGTACTGATCATCAGTTATGAGTAAGTTCAAACCTTTCATGCAAACTTTCAACCCATCCATTAGTTCTTGCATGGAGTGTTGGAAGGTACACCGGGAGTAATATCGAGTTAGTGCTTGATTCATGGAAGCAATCACTCCCCCAACGGAGCGGCCCTTCTTACTAGAATCATGGTAAGAATCTATCCCAACCACCATAAGGTTCTTGAGCTACAGTGACAAGCAGAAGTGTAATACAAGTTCTTCAACAAAGAAAGCTAACACATCAAACAGAAAGCACAATTGTGTATATGTACAATGACAATATGAAGTGCATACAGAATTTTATGAAGTGCATATAGAATTACACCAACTACAAATTACTATACACAGAAAAACACACTGTTAAATACTATAAAATTCACCCCTCTATTAGGGCTGGGACGATATATCGAGATATCGATAATATCGATTCAATGTGAGGATGATACGCATATCAATACATATGAAGAAATATCGAATATCGCAAAAAAAATTCTGACTTATGTTTTTCTCTGTTTTCTTAACATTTTGGGTTAAATATATAAATAAATATGCAAAATATAAATATGAAATACATAATAATTAATACCACTTGGGTAAAATGATTTTGTTTTACAACAGATATAATACTTCTTTGAATAAATTATTCTTATTTGTGAAGAAATGTTTTGTTCATTTCACTATAAAATTTGTTTATAACCAAATCAACATATCGTGATACATATCGTATCGTGGTTCAAATATCGTGATACGTATCGATATACAAAAAGCTGTATCGTCCCAGCCCTACCCTCTATATATAAGCTGATGATTCACTTCTACTTACTGGAATTTCCAGGCACCATACTTCTCCTCCTAGCTTACAATTCAGTTGAATGGCAATTTTGGTTGCCACAGACATCAACATCTGCTTTTTAGAGAGTGTTCTCTGTACAACACATTGACTTGGTACTGCAAAAAGTTTGTACTTGCATTCAACATCATTATATGTCATTGAGATTGGTCTTACAATTTGATTTACTTAACATTTAAAGTAATTTTCATGTGAAATATGGTGTATGTACATGTACCTCATATACATTGCACCCACTATGAAAAACTCAAAGCAACAAAGCAGGGCCAAGATGAATTCAAATACACACATATTCATGCATCAATGCACAAATAAACATTTTTTTTTTTTAAATTTACATGACAGAGCATTTGTTCATCACAACATACCTGGATGGTCAACACAGCAAAATTTCTTAATGGCATCATATCGATCCTTACGATTTGTTGGCAAGATGGTCAATGCCAGCTGTGTTTGAGGGGTGACATACTGCTTCAGGGCTGTTAGATAGCTGTCATTCCTATCATCTGGCAACTCGCAACTGAAAAGACAATTGTTACCAATACCTCTCAATCAAGAAACACAATCTTTTTAAGATTTTTAAAACTGTTAAAATTTTAAAATTGAATACTACAGTGTATTTTGGTACAAAAAGCAATTCCTTAAACTTGTTTCCAAATTAAAGCTTACATTGTGGGGGAGTTGATCTGCATTCCCATGGGAGGCCCGACCCTACTGAGGGTTTGGACCAGATCCTGGGCTTGGGGGCTGTTCCTCCTGGTGAACACAATGACCCAGTTATCTAGATTCACTGGGGTGATTAACTTCTTCCCTCTCATGTCTCTACTCCAGTCAGCATCTTCCTGTCTGTAACTCAACTACAACAAAGTACCAATTACATTTACTATTCAACACTACATACAGGTTTTCTTGTGAACATATAAGATCAAAACCGGAGAATCTTACCTCTGCCCCGCCTTTCTGATAGATTTTTTCCTGGGGAGCTATGTGAGCATTCACGTTCAGCAGATTCTGAGAGAACCTTAGTCCCCATCCTCCCATTTCTGCTCGCACTTTCTCATTCCTGTGACAGTGCAAGTAACACATCAGTGTGCAAGGTAATAAACATGTATTAACCAAAAATACTGTTCTATCTACTGTCCACTTTTAAAGACATGCTTAACAAACAGATTTTTGCCAGAATATAAATCCAAAACCCTTTGCCAAACTTTAACAGTTAACAAGGTAAATTATTGACTTGGGTTACGTTTTAAGATGTGTTAAACATATATCAGTGGTTATTATGGCATTACTTGTTGATTTGGTCAATAAAGCCTTGTAATGTTTTATTTCTTCCCTCTGGGGCCACTCTAGTGTGAGCACCAACATCTTTCATGACATTAAAGTCTGCCCTTGCCTCATCAGTCAGTCCTGAAATGACATCCCAATAACTTCAGTCACTCCTCAGAATACTGTTGAATTGTGCAAACTTGTACCCAATTCATAAATACCTTACTGTGAATGTTGACTTACCTGTGACAGTACAGAGTTCTGGTAGAAGGAAGATGGGCTCTGTACGTCCCATTCTGATGTCCTTCTTCTTTGGTCTTGATACTACTAAAGGCTGGTTCATGTCTCGAACATCTATGTTGTAGTTCTACAATATATATAAAAAATTAATTTATGTAGTAGTTCTACAATATATAAAGAAATCTAACAACTTAAATCTTGAAAATTAAATAGACATCACATGAACTTCTTCCATGTTACTTGAAAACAATGTCATTGCTTAATGCTTAAAAACTGTCAGTTCTATTCATTAGATACATCTTTCCTGTCACTAATTTCTCTTATTTTAAAAATGTATCTGCAAGCACTGCAAACAGAAACTTACCTTTTTGTAATATTCAGCTAAGGTAATGGAGACATCATTCCTCAACTTGAAGGTGAAGTCTGGTCTCTTGTCCCAGTCGAAGTCATCCACACGGTAGGTCTTATTGTTGTACCTGTAAATCACATAATAATTCTGATGACAGAATTTTAAATACAGAGAGAATTCCCCTTTCGTGAGTATTTGAGGTCGATTTGTCCCTCCCCAACAATAATAATGAACGTTTTTTGTTCAAATGTGATGGTACCACAATAAATTAGATTCATGATTTCAGTTGATAAATTATATAAAATATACTTGGGTGAGTGAGCTACAGTATATTTGTTACAAATTTATTCAACAGATTGAGTTCCTGGAACGCAACACATGGGTTAATGTTATTTTGATATGAAACATTTTCTTTAAATTCTATGCTATATTTTCTATGCTTAATTACCAGGCACACAGTATGCTGACTATCCCTTCACCAATCACTGCGAATAATGTACTGTGCAAAAAATTTAGATATTGATGAAACTAATCTGCAAGTACCTTGTGAGGACAATAGAGCCAACAAACTTTCGCACACAATCATCATAGAAACTTTCCCCTTTGCTTTGACTGTACATGTCGTACATCAAATCTAGTAGCGTATCAGACCTGATGATTTTGTGACTGATGTCGGCACACAACAAGGTATCAGTCTCGTACTTAGCAATGGCTGTTACAAACCCTGGCATGACGGTCAGTCTGAAAATAAAAACATTTCATAAACAACTGTTATGTTCAATAATGCAATAATGACACTTGGTAAATATCACCACGTTCAGCTAACCATATACAAGGACCAACCTAGGGGACGACTGGGGCGAAATAGTTGCTTTTGAGCTCCAAACTTCGCCGTAAATTATCACGAAAGAGAAGTCGCCTTAACATTTTCAACCCCTTTATTGAAAATCATAAGAAACGTGGTGGTATCGTCATTTATTTATAAATCTGGTTTCATTACTGCTGAAATAAGTGAAACAGCAGGGCACTTGCGCCTGTTTTGCTACTTATGACCAATGCATCGAATACTCTGTCGGAACTCCTCTAGATTTTACGCTTCCATGTATGAAAAAGTCCATTGTTACAAGTTATACACAACAAGACACAAAACAGCTGGACAGCTATCAATGTCAAAGATGTTGGAGATGATTTTCGATATTTTTATCGTCAAATAATTAATACATGCTGTGAATACAGACATATTTTTACTGTTAATTGTGGAGTTATTAACTGTCTAAGAAATTACACGACTGATACACATAACTAGTTCAATCGGCATGCAGTAGTGCATCAAAACTTTTTTTTAGAAAAAGAATTTAATATTGAAAACAAATTTTAAAGAGAAAATAACAAAATTATGACTATGCCAAGAGCCTGAAAATCTAACCCCGAGAGGAGGGAATACGTGTGAATCATTTAAAAGTTAATTGTGCATACTATGCAAGAAATCAAAAAAAAGTTTGATAAACAAGTTTATCAATTAGAAACTTTTACATTGTAATTGTTTTATATATTTTGCTAGATATTTATATTCCTTGTAATTGGAAAAATATAAAGTTCATTTTTTTAAAAAATCTTTTTTTTCCTTTTTAAATTTATACTAGGATGTTTAAATAATGCACAAAAAATTATTGTAATGTATTTAAGTGATAAACAATGAAATGTTTTTATTTTTTAAAAAGTTTAATAATGATCTATGTGCACCACATGCGCCAAGAAGTCTCCCTAGAATTCAAAACTTCTCCCTGCATTTCTCTGAGGGAGAAGTGAAGTCTCCCTAAATTTTGGGTCCAGGTTGGTCCCTGCATATATATATACAAGTAGTTATAATGTGTCTGTGAATCAAGGCATCTTACTTTTAATGCAAGCATCAATACTGAATAATTAAACCAAGGATGATACTTTAAAGGTTCTTGTTCTTACTTGTGTTGTGGAATGTCCACCGACAAAGAGGGATTGAAGTAATTACGTCCAATCTGCTTCATTTCAATCATGGCTAGAACCCTAGGCAAAAATGAAACAAAATTTTATATTCAGAAGGAAAAGTTTATACACACTGAAAGTGTCTTAAAATTAGCAATTTTGTTACATTAATACATATTTCAAGCTAAATCTACGCTCAAAATAGTTTCTACCTTTCAATTATGTAACAGATATCTGTTCCTATACAGCAGTGAAATACAAACTTTTTTGGTTAAATATGTACATCTCATATACCCACCTTCTGAAGATAATGTTGTAGACCTGCATGACTTGGGGTGAGGAGGGGGGCAGCTCATTGGTCAGTGTGATTGTAATTCTTATTTGGGCATCATCAGTCCTCCTCTGACTATACACCTCTGTCACCTAAAGAATTCATAGACAAAACTCTGACTAAATTACAGAACATTCTTAATAATAACCAATCAGACACAAAGATAGCGTATATAGAGGATATTCAATGTTTTGTAGATGAATATGGAATTTATTTCGCGAGCGGGACAGGATTTTTTGATATTTTCAAGAGTGCGAAGCACGAGTGAAAATATCAAAAAATCCTGTCTCACGAGTGAAATAAATTCCATATTCATCTACAAAACATTGAATTTTCTGTTTATTACATTTTCTTTGATTTTCCCTTTGCCTCTGTCTTTTCTTAACACAGTGTCATAGGCTTGACGTCATAGTGGAACGGTTGAGACGTCATAGCTTAGCAGTTGTGTGATTGAAAACGTTACATAGCATGGATTTCAGCAATACATTTGGGAAGGAATTTGCAGTTTTCGCTCTATCAAGATGCTTAGTTACTATCTCTATCTTATGACAGGCCAGAAATTATTTTTTACTTACTTTGATATCCTTTCACAATGTGAGAGAATATCATTTTGGTATCCTTTCACACTGTGAGAGAATATCACTTTTATTCAGTAAATAAATCACAGTATTTCACTGTTGAAAATGTAATAAAAAGATATCTTTGTTACAAATTATGTCTTTTATTGGATTTCAAACCTGTTCCTGAAGACGGTGTGGTAGGTATAGGATCATCCCATCAAATGCTTTGGTTTTTCCAAGTAAATTTTCATGAGTCATTAACAGAGCCATGCGCATTTTCCTGGAATCAACTGGAGGATTGAAATCCACGTGGTACTGGTAGAGATGCCAGTCAGGTGCCATTTCAAGCTTGAAGTAGTTTGTGACTACAGGTAACTGGATTCCAGATGTTCCTGAATCATTCAATTTATGATCACTCATTTTTACGATTCTTTTATTGACTAAATAGATCTTTCTTTTTTTTTAAATTTATCATCATCATCACCTTTTTTGTTTATAAGGGAAGCCATACTTTAATAAATTTACCTCTTTTGTCGGTCAACCATGCTGGCTTACACTCTGGATCACTATAATACATGCGATCTCTTCGCTCCCCTGCATCTCTTGTCCCAATGGACATTTTGGCCAAGGCCTCTGCTGGCACATCACCACTTCCTGTAGCGATACCAGGTCGTGGCTCCTTGGCACCACCTCTATAAGAAGCTCTCCCACTGGCTGCTGGGGGACCACCTGCTGGAGCTGGGGCAGGGGCTGAGGAAGGCTGCTGTTATATACAATGAAATGCAAAATATTTCACTTGACAAAATACATATATTTTGTTTCCTGGAAATGCATAAGTGATGCTTTTATTCTATATTTCATGTAAGATTAGTTTCTCAGGGATTTATCTAGCTATTTTAACTAGGAAGAAAATGATTCCAGTTGCAAAACATTTAGCGATGGAGGTATGACTATGGGCAGTCCAAGGGCATGTCCATCTGGAAATTTTCAGATTAATGTTGCAAAAATCTGCATCCTGAGAGCTTATCTGTGGGTTATTTCAAGAACTATCATAAATTAATAATATTAAACATGTTAATTGTTGTATGTTAATTAGGAAATTTTTGACATTTTTTTCAAAGGTGAAAAGAACCTTTTACTGGTAGTTCAAATATCACTGATAAATCCTTGTTTTCTATATTAATATGATGAATATAATGATAAAATTTTAAGAAATACCATGGATAATTGTATTTTATTCTGTGAATATAGAAATATTTTTTGAGCATTTTAAAATACTTCAACTGAACCTGAGAATCAGACTACCTTAAAATGAAACATTTACGTAACACTGATGACAAAAGAAATGTGATTCAAAGCATTCCTGTGACTTAAAATTATAGATAAACTATTAAAAAAAATTAGGGTTGATTGGGAAAATGAAAAAAAAACTTTAGTAGGCCTTCAGTAAAAGTGATCAGGGTCAAATGATAATAATGTTGATATGAAATGTTTATACCTCCCTCTGTGGTGCGGCCTGTTCTCCTGGCCTTCTAGCTTGATCCTCAGAAGCACCTCGTGCTCTTCCACGTGCTCGTGCTCGTCCTCTTCCAGACATATTTAGTTAAAACTGTAAACAGAGAAAATCAATATTTAGTACAATTAATAAATCATATTTACATTCAGTGTAATTTTCTTTATGAAATCTATTGGAAATCTACCACATTCAATACCCTATAACACACATGAAACCTTGTCACTGAGCCTTAGGATACAAAGTAGAAACCATATGCATTATCAATATTCTAGCATGGTTTTTTTAGGAGTCATAGGGGGCCAGTATTCAAAGCCATTCCAAACAGCAAAAAGTATGTGTTTTCCCAATTTCATCAAACAAAATTCCCAAAAGACGAAAATATCGTTAAAAAAAAAAGAGATATATTTACATGTCCCTAATTTAGTGAGAAGTAAATCGGGATCGGTGTTCAAAATAATCTAAAACGCATGCTCCGAATAAAGGCCGCCATATTGTCACCATGTCGCACAATTCAAAGTAGTATATACAGAGAACAAAAATAAACTGGGTGATACCAAGCAAGTTAAACCGATTTACACATTCTTTTCCAACCATACCCAAAGTGAAACTCAACCCACGACTTCTGATGCTGAATGTCAGAGTAGCCAAATTGAAACTCAACCCACCACTTCCGATGTCTAGGCCAGCATTTTTTTATTTTTAGGTTTACGAACACCAGGGGCCGGTTTTACAGAAGAACTTAAGATGAAGACCCAAAAACTTTAGTCGACTGTAAAATTTTGCAAAATCAATTATTCTGTTTAAAATTGTTAACGTAAAATATCGTTATACATACCTTTTAAAAATATTCAAACCATTTTCTATTCAATGTAGTAAATTAAAAAGTTATTAGCTAAACTAAATTTTGGTCTTAGTCGTAAGTTCTTTTGTAAAATGGGCCCCTGAATTATAAAGTCCCATAAGAGGAGGAAATAGGAAAAAAAAAATTTTTTTTTTTTTGATAAT